GAAGGTCCTCTGTGTGTGTTCTCATGTTGACTTGTTGTGATAGTCAGCAGTCAGTCTCCACATACAGTTCAAAGTCCACACTCAGAGGAGGATCTCAGTGTTGTAGTGGGTTTAGATTAAATACAGGATATGAACAAAATATGTCTGAGGGGGGAGACTGAGAGTGATGACTAAGGCTAAGCTGTCTTCACCGTTGGACAACATATCCCCCCCCCCCTCCAGGACCCTGTCTGCAGTGTGTAGCTCCTTCAGTGACAGGCTGCTGCCTGATGTTTCATAAACCGCATGTCCTTCCTTCATTCAGCGGTCACACCTCTCAATACATAATACAGAGTGTAAAATCACTGATGAGCAATAATACTGACTGTAAATGTAAAACTGTTGAGCAATGTAGAATGATCGAGGGTCGAGTATCTTTTATGACTCAGGTTTATTCAGCAGTAAGTCAAGAGATTACAGTAGGCAGAAACATGACTGTCACTACCCGATCTGGAGTGTGCATGTGCGAGATGGTCCGCCATATTGGACATCTCCGTACGGCAACTCAAGTAGGACACTTGACACAGTGGTTTTTGACAAATCACAAAAATAAAACTCGAGAGAGATGTGTTATTGTTATTACAACGTGGCTTCACTATTATTTAACAACTCTTTTTATTGGGTTCTTTTATTTGGGGTTGAGTACATTGTCAGAATAAGTGAGAAATGGATTTAACTTCTGTTAGACAGCCATATGCCATACATTTTTGCACACATTCACAGTAAATATTTAGTCAGTATGATCGCTGTCTAACAGAATTTAAATTGGCGGACTTACTCTGTAGTAAAGCAGTACTTGCAAATGCCGTAAAGCATGCTACAATACTGTCGTAACAGTCTTAACTCTATAATCCTTATATTTATTATATCGCTTTATCAAAGACTCTCAAAGCGCTTTACAAATACACATTACACATACAGATCATACATGTAATGGTCATCTACTGTGGTCAATACCCACAGGAGCAAATTCGGGTGAAGTGTCTTGCCCAAGGACACAGCGGCCTGACGCAGTGGGGCGGGAGCGGGTTTCGAACTGGAGTTCCCCAACGCCCCCTTGATCTGATGATCAAACGCACAGACCACTGAGCCACCCGTCCCTCTGTATGCATTGCATGCATATGTGACAGGCAATATCTCTATATTTGTACAACTTATTTACAATTTGATAATGTTATGTTTATCTTTATTTGTCTATGTTCACTAAATAAATAAAATATACTGCTAATTAATTTTAACCATGGTGCATTGTATCTTATGACACACAATGATTTACACAATGCCCAACTTTTGAACTTGTACGGAAACAATTCTTCCCAAAACTCAAATATAAGCATCCTCAATTATTTAAAAATGAAAATGAAAAACTAAAAATACTTCTCGGGGAATATAAAGAGAGCTGCATTGTGGCAGGACAGTTTGTCTCTGCCTGCCACAGTCTGAGGGAACCGGAATGAGCAGATACACCAGGTCTCACATCGTATGTATATATATCATATTCTATTTTGTATTCATGTATTATATATGAATGAAATGAATCTGTATTCCTTGTAAAAAAAACAACAACAAAAAAACATGTTCTTAGCAGTTTGTTTATAACTGTTAATTTGTTTATTTGTATGTATTTTTGTATAGATGTTACAACTATACATAGCTTTGGCAATACTGTATGTAAATATGGTCATGCTAATAAAGCTTTTGAATTGAATTGAATTGATTTATTTTAAATCACGGGACATTAGAAATAAAGCAAACATTTCAAAAATAAAGAAAGATAAATAAAGAATAGAAGAAACATACTATAACATATGCTAGAGCTACTACTAGTGTTATGTTTTTATTGTTGCACATTTAATTATTTGAATGTTGTTGGTGGTGTTTTGTTCTTGTTTCTCCCGCATGAGGGCAGCAACGCCTCTGGCGGGCTGCTAATCTACCGCTTCGATCCACAGCGAAGAAGAAGTTCCCGATGCAACAGCTAGGCATCAACATGCCTGCTGCTGTGATTATGGAGGAAAATTATGATAAAGTATTGGAGCAGTGTGAAGCTCAGGAGCTGGAGGTAAGCACTGAATCCCAAAATATATTATTTCTCGCGACAACAATAAATGCTGCCTTACAGGTTAGCTTGAAGGCATGGCAGTAGTGTTTCTGACAGCCAGCCCTGCACCAGATGTAGCTAACGTTATGGCTAATAAGCTAGCTTGTTTTCACTTCTCTAAACCTGATTTTGCTCTCAGTCAAAGTAAATGATTCTATGAGTTCTACGACATAAACGAATCAGTGCTATACTCACAATGCCAGCAAAACAAACAGTACGTTTAGCTTGACTATCTACTGAAACAAGCTAGCTAGTTAGCTTACATTTGATAGCCAGGCGTTGTTTGTGAAGAGAAGCAAAAACTAGTGTATTTATTTATCTGCATAACGTAAAAGATAGTTGCTTGGTTCACTGTAACCTTGTGACTGACTCATTACTTTGAGGGCAACATTGTAAGGTAACGCTATGGAGGCAAAGCTATACTGTTAGCCAAAGCTAAAGAACACACTAACATGATTTAACAGACCGAACGGTATGTCCCAGCTACACTACCACACGCAACGGAGCTTAGGCTATCAGTGGATTACATTATGGATTGATGTGGGAAATACTCTTTTGGTTTGTTGCTAATATGTAGCTTCACTATTTAATTTCTCACCTGCATTTGTGTTCACCAGGCTCCAGGGGGCATTGCAACACCTCAAGTGTACGCTCAGCTGCTGTCGCTCTATTTACTGCATAATGACATGTAAGTACCATTATGTCCTCTTTATTCACACATTACATATTATGGGTAGGGCATTATCTCATTTGATTCTAAGACTTTTGCATTATGTGTTGCCTTTTCCAGAGGTGGAAAAAGTACTCAAATGTTGTACTTAAGTAGAAGTTCCAAAGAGCAGGTATACTCTTTTACAAGTAAAAGTCCAGCATTCAAAGTATTTCTTAAGTAACAGTGCACAAGTATTAGCATCAAAATATAGTGAAAGTACCAAAAGTAAAAGTAGTCGTTGTTTGATTGGTCCATTTCAGAATCATATATATGATATGTTTTATAATGATTGATCATGAAAGTGTTCTCAAAGCTGGTAAAGGTGCAGCTAGTTTGAATGACTTTGTATACTGCAGGGTAGCTGGTGGATTTACTCCAGGTGGAACTAAAGTCTGATTTAACACTTGATTATATTTCACATCATTCATCCACATCTGTTAAGTAACTAAAGGTATTAAATACATGTAGTGGAGGAAAAGTACACCATTTACTTCTGAATTGTAGTGGGGTAGAAGTACAAAGTAAAATCATATTGAAATATTCAAGTAAAGTACAGGTCCCTCACAATTGTGCTTAAGTACGGCACTGTGCTATGACATAGTACGTGGCTAGCTTAACAACTGATACATTTGGTTTGGGAGTCGATGTGTGTGTTGCCACAGTACTGTATCTGAAGTCTGTCAGGAATAACACTGCTGCCTGCTGCTGCCCAAACCTGCACGTTTCAAAGTGTATTTTCTGACCGGTTGGTTCCAACAGGAATAATGGCAGGTATCTCTGGAAACGGATTCCCCAAGCAATCAAATCGGTAAGCATTAAAAGACACAAGGAGACATAGATACACGTGTTTGTCCTAATTGTGCTGCTTCATATGGTAGTTATTAAACGTACCAATTTCCAACTCTAAGATGCTGTTCACACGTATATCCTATGGTATAGAACTTCTCTTCAGAGGCTCAGCTCTGACGGACGTTGCTCTCTACATCAGCACCAATATGATTTGGTGTTTTAACGCTGTGAACCCATATTACTTTCAGATCCATTGTTTTCCTAGACCCTATAATCATAGTGACCTCATGTTTAACTGAAATATAAGTCATTTACACCTGCACCACTATTGGATAATAACAGCCATGCTTTAAAGCAGTAAGAGCTCAGAAATAAATGTTCAGTATCTCACCGTAATAATTCCATAACTCAGAAGAGTCAAAAATACGCAAGTTGGATTTCTTTGATAATTTAAACTTATTTAAAAACAACTGGAAATAAATAGATTCAGCTGACTGGGTAGCTGCATACGACATGTTTCAAAGTGCCCACAGCTGTTGACAATATTAGGGGGCTTCAAATACTAGATATATTGAAATATATATATTTGTACAACCTCTTCTCTGTAAACGGACTACAGTCGAGGTTTCACTGAATCTTTGTAACGTGACTGAGTCATTCAGGGTCATGATTGATTGTCTCTGTCATGATCTGTATGGTACAATATGTTTTCAAATACATTAACTGAAAAGTGTGAAAAACGTTTACATGTGCCGGCTGTTTTATATTTAATGGACAGGTCACTTGAAATGTTGAAGTAGTGTGATTTAATATCCTATCATTTGGGCGGGACTGCATACTAAATGCTTTTAAAATGCCTTTCCACTTACTGTTTACAGGCAAACCCTGAATTAACATCTATCTGGGCTGTTGGCCAACGCATTTGGCAACGGGACTTTCCAGGGGTCTACACAACCATCGCAGCCTTCCAGTGGACAGAGAACATCCTTCCAGTCATGGAGGCACTTCGAGGTAACAATAAGGTCTTCAGTGAAGATTCCTTTGTGTCCTTCAAGCTCCTAAGACTTTTCAACACTTGATAAACATGATATTCACACATTTGGCTGTGACGAAAATGTAGCAAAATTCCATGTTGGGAAATTGATATAAATAGGATATTTGATTTCCTACACTAAAAACAGCTTAAAGGTGGGGTATGTCATTTATTTCAGATACACTTGTTGTTATATTCCATGGAATGCTCTTAACATCCGATAGCAATGAATATCTTAAATGCTTTGACAAGAAATCCATAAAGAAAAGTCATCTGTGGAAGCCGTGGTTCTGTAAAAAGCACGACCAATCATCTGAGCCGGCTAAAGTAACTGGATGGCCTACCTGCCTGTCAGCCTTCCATCTGTGCACAAACTTATCTCGTGCCCTCATTGGTCATGTGTGCGTTCCTGTGTGTTGGAGGAGAGGCTCTGTGAGGAAGTGGCAGATTCTTTCCGGCTGTGTATTTTCACCTTTAAGCTATCATTTAACCCAGGAGAAAATAACATGTTGGAATGTAGGAATAAATGAGACTCTTGATAACACCTTTTCATTATCGTAGCGGGGCATATATGTTGAAGGCCAGTTCAGGTGGTAACATATGGTTGCAGTTGTTTGGGTTCCTGCATCATGTGATGCTTAACTTGTGCAAGAGTTTAAGAATAGCTTCTCCCTGTTGTTTACGGTTCTACTTGTTGATGCCATGAATGGTGACGTACAGTAAGCCATCATTTGCTTCCTGGTGGGTGTGGGAAGTTAAGAGTGTTTGAATGTAAATGCACACATTCTACTCTTTTGCAAATATTTTGATAAAGCCGTTTTAAAAAAGGCATAAAGAACTGATATTCATAATGAAGGTCTTGTTAACAAGTACATTTGTATTTACAAGCATGCCATGTTGTAACATCTCTCAACTTGTCTGACAACAGTCCTCAACACACTTTTGATAACCTGCATAATTGAAGAACATTTACCTACAAATAGTTTTTTTTTAAATGTAACCTACACATCATTTATGATTGAATAATGATGTTACTTTGGTTGATATACATTTATTACTGTCGGAAGTATAGAAAATGACAAAGTTACTACATTTTTGTTGTGATCTAAATAAATGATATCAATGGCAAACTAGGTAATATGCAACAAATGAAACAACACGGCAGTCACAGGATGTTGACATAGACTTGTTTACTAATAAGATTGAGCTCCCTCTCTGCTGAGCCAGTCACATGGACCCGTGTTGTCTCGCTCTGTCCACCACTGATGGAGAGGAGAAGCTGGGACAAGTGACACATGCAGCACTTAGTAGGAGGGGGCCATTTCTGTGAAAAGATCCCGAGGCAGCAAGCAGGCAGGAATGTGTGCTCTCGTTGGTGGAAGCTATCAGATGTCACCAGCTGTGAGGGGCTGGTATAAAGGACAGAGCTGCCACCTCCCAGAATAGATATCAGCTTTTCACAAGCAGCAGCACACGCCAAGGAGAAGCTCCAGGAGTCTGACCTTGTTTTTGGTAACTTTTTAAAAACCAACAAAGGGCACAACTTGTATTTTTCTCTCCTAAAATAAGAAAACCTACTGGTCTAACGCTAGGCAGTGACATTATTATGGACGTTCAGAGGACAGGGTCTATTGTCCGGGCCCCAAGCCCAATGGATAGCCTGGAGAAGCAGCTGAGCTGCCCCATCTGCCTGGAAATGTTCACCAAACCTGTGGTGATCCTGCCCTGCCAGCACAACCTGTGCCGTAGCTGTGCCAGCGACCTCTACGACTCACGCAACCCCTACCGCTTCTCCGGGGGCGTCTTCCGCTGTCCTACCTGCCGCTTCGAGGTTGTGCTAGACCGTCATGGTGTGCATGGGCTCCAGCGTAACCTGTTGGTTGAAAATATTATCGACCTCTATAAGCAGCAGCAAGAAGGGAGCAACAGCGGGAGCACAGAACCCGCCCTGAAGCCTAAAGAATCCAAAGAGCCCATGTGCCAAGAACACGAGGACGAGAAGATCAACATCTATTGCACTACCTGCCAGACACCCACCTGCTCCATGTGCAAAGTGTTTGGCCAGCATAAGGACTGTGAGGTGGCACCTTTAGCAAGTGTTTACCAGACCCAGAAGAGTGAACTGAGTAATGCTATCGATACCCTGGTAGCTAGCAATGGCCGCCTGCAAGCCCTGCTCAACCAGATGGAAGATGCCTGCCGTGCTGTGCAGGAAAACGCTCAGTGTGCTAAGCAAGGTTTAGCGGAACGCTTTGACCTGCTATACGCTGTCCTGGAGGAGCGCAAGACCATTCTACTGGAGCAGATTGGAAAAGAGCAAGACGAAAAGGTGGCAGCACTGCGGGCGCTGTCTCAGCGCTACAGTGAGCGACTGCAGACCAGTTCAGAGCTGACGGACACTGCTGTGAGGGCGCTGGAGCAGGGGGGGGCTGCGGAGTTCCTGCTGGCCTCCAAGAGCCTCATCACGCAGACCAAGGATGCATCTAAAAGCTCGCTGGGGGAAGACCGGCCAGAGCCAGGCTTCGAGAAGATGGACCACTTCACTTTGTCGACGGAGCATGTTGAGGCAGTGCTGGCAAAAATGGACTTTGGAGTGGTTGATGATGATGAGTTTGAGGATGCAGAGGAGGAGGAATAATGAAAATCTAACTAGTTGCGGACTTGTAGAAAAAACTACAACATGTGCCTTTGAAGGTTTTTGACCCAATTGTTTATGGCAGGGACTGCATTCGATGTCCAAGGTGATGGTGGAGGTGGGCGCCTTGCCCATACGTTCAGTGCAATACTTTAATGACATATTCATTGTTTTTCTTAACTCTTTTTATACTTTTGTACTTCTGAGCCAGTTAAATGGAGAAATTGGTCTAGATCATTGTTAAAATAACATGTCTGAAGATTGATTACACATTGTGTTCCTTACATGTTTCCTTTGATATTAGTTATTTGTGTTTTTCTCACTTTGTCCAAATTTGTGTTGAACTGGTGATCAGCTGATCTGTAATCACCAAATGTGCCTTCAATGGAATGTGGAATAAAGCTGCATGATGTTAAGCTCCTATTTGCTTTATTTGCCAAACTTAAACATTACGTTTAAGGTTAGGAACATATAAAGGAAGACCCAGTATTATTTTAGGCTTTGGAGTGCTTCCAACTAAATAGTTCCCAGTCTATGCTGCTCTTACTTGGCAATAGTCTGAATTTAAAAATAAAAGCCCTTGCCATGTGTGCTTTGCCTTTGCTGGTTAAAAGTGGGGGCTATTTTTAAGAGGTGAGAGGGTGAGATGATAGCAGCCCTGGAATAGACTCGGGGAAGGACAGGCCAGGTCCTGTTTCTCCTCCATAAAACTCTGTCCTCCCACTCATGGACGTCTTGCTCAGCAGCTCTGGAGTGCCAGAGGGCCACGCTAAGAAAGGCCGCTCCATTTGCCACACGAGTCATCTCCCAACGGTCAAAAGGCCATGGTAAAAATACATGTCTGCCTGAGGACTGGGTTACAGAAAAGCCCCCAGAGATGACATGCATGGCTGTGTTGGGAGCATTTGCTCAGAGTCCACATTTTGTTTCTAGTTCACAACCAGGTGCGAGGAAGTTATTCAACACAGCAGGGAGTCGGGGTTATGCAGTTTGATAGGTGCTGCACTAACATGGAGTTTTATACTAACTAGAGCAAAGGGAAAGCAACTCTTTCAGTCCTCTGTCAGACACAACAATGAGCAGACAATACTGTTGTATCCACAATATTCTGGAACCAGACCTTTAAATAGTCTGCTTTAATCAGCATCATGGCTAAATGCCAACTTTAATTAAAACCATAACAAAATGATTCATAAATATTTTCAGAATGAGAAACATGTTTTTTTAAAGGTCCCATGTCATGGCCATTTCCACTGATCATAATTCCATTGTTGAGGTCGACTAGAATACATTGTTCAATGTTCCAAACTCACATTGGTTTCTCACAGCATCTCTGTATAGTCTGTGTATTCACTCTCTGTCCTACACGGCTTGTTGGTGCTCCCCCCTCCCTGTGAGCCCAGTGGCCGTCTGTGAGACAGCAAGACACCACGGAACTCAGCCTGGGCACGCACACACACACACACACACACACACACACACACACACACACACACCACACACACACACACACACACACACAACCCGCAGCCTGGCTGGGAGTTTGTGTGTGTGCCCAGGCTGAGTTCCGTGGTTACTCGCTGTCTCGCACCAGTGAGCCAGCTCAGTGTCCCGCTCCGCTCCTCGTGTGTGTGTGTGTGTGTGTGTGTGTGTGTGTGTGTGTGTGTGTGTGTGTGTGTGTGTGTGTGTGTGTGTGTGTGTGTGTGTGTGTGTGTGTGTGTGTGTGTGTGTGTGTGTGTGTGTGTGTGTGTGTGTGTGTGTGTGTGTGTGTGTGTGTGTGGTGTGTGTGTGTGTGTGTGTGTGTGTGTGTGTGTGTGTGTGTGTGTGTGTGTGTGTGTGTGTGTGTGTGTGTGTGTGTGAAGAGCTTCATAACAAGGGGACGGGTAATAACCAGAAAAGCATGACATGGGACCTTTAACACATATGATGAGTTTGCCTTGGTGTATATGGTGCACACATAAACAGTCAAAGAAGATAAATTGTAAGAAAAGGACCAAAAATAATATTTATTTATAATATATCTACTGGCGAACTGGAAGCCTCTTGGACAGCAAAGTGCTCTTGACAAATCTCCGGCCTTCCCCATCACAGCTGTCTTTTCTCATCCCACTTGTTATTGTTACTGCTGCAACAGACTGGCTGTTGGTACACACACACCGTTGCTAGGCTATAAAACACCAAAGGCCATAACCCTGAGGCTTTTACGTGATAGCTGCAGGAGCAGCACAAATACGTGCCGGTGTGTGAGCTTTGTTGGGCCTGCCACTCTCAAAAGCTATCTCCACAAGCTACTGCACCATGTCAAAGTCAGGCAAGATAAAGGTGCCAGCTTTGACATGTTAGAAGTCTAAGCCAGTAGCTGTTGATAAAGACTTCAGTGGTGTGTAGTGTAAGCCCTGCTCAGCATACAACATCCATGCCTCATCTTTGGAATGCTTCAATTAACATGATCTATTTTTAAACGTTCATGATTGTGGAAAGTTGTATGTGCTTATTTGTTTTAGCTCATAAGTTCATCATAATCAGATCACAGTTTATTTAACAACAAATGCACCATTTGATTTCAATCAAACCCAGATGTGAGAAGCAATCATACGCAGACAATCCAGTTTATTTATTTCAACCTCAAACACACTCCTGTGAGTTCTGAAATGGTTTGTGACTGTTTTTGGGGAGAGCAGCAGAAACAGGAGGGGAAGCCTCTGCTTATAACTCAAACACACATTACCTATATTTGCAAGAACAGGAAAATAGAAAGTAATCAAGACTGTTTCTATCTGTAAATAAAAGCGAATGATACGTGTTTATGCTCCGTGATTTGAATTTGGTTTGTGCTTTGGACCTTGCTACACCCTTACACCACCTTTTATGAATATCAGGCGAGAGTCAACGATCATAACCACGTTGAAAACACAATCCTAGTTCCTTCGTAGAAGCGCTCACCTAACATGATACCACCCTTAGTCCCCTCTGTCTGCTAATGATCAAAGCATAGCACTTTTATTCAGTGTTTGTTTTTTCTTCAAACAGCCCCAGGCTTCAAAACCTTGGCCTGTCCCTTGTTACTGGTGTTACTGGTTGTTTCTCACAGTGTAGAACCTTGTGCTAATTAGCAACACAAGGAACATGACTCTGAAATAACATGTAAGTTGCTGTTGCCCCAGTGCTGGATGCTCTTTAAATAGAGCGCAGTCTCAGCGTGCATGTTAGAGTGTGATCTGAATGTCCCTTTGTTGATGCGTCCTTCAGAGAGCACGCGGCAGAGGGCCTACAGTCTGGTGGCTCAGGCCTACACCTCCTTGGCGGCAGACGACTTCGCTGCCTTCGTGGGATACTCTGTGGAAGAGGCAGTAAAGGGTACGTTTACATCCACACAGGAAATGTCACCGTATCACTGTTATTGTGTAAAAAACACATTACATTCAGATCTACAGGTTTAACGGCACTATAGAATCATCTGGACCGAGGTAAGATAGTTTGTTATGCTAACTCCACGGCGGCTAATTGTGCATTATTAATCTACTGGTATAGTTATGTATTGTGACAATTCATGTGTTTAAATCATTCCTTAGGTAGTGGTTTGTTACTGTAGTTCAGCATTTCTTTCTGACGGAGCAAACAGTCAGCAGATGGCTGACATCAAACACATCGCACGTCTTGATGTCAACCTCTCCCTCGTTAACTTTCCATTTTTTAAAAGAACAAAATGTAATCTCCAAATCATTTTTCCCCTTTATGTATTGGTCATGGGATGACTGTTCCAATCAGTTACACAATAGTGCCTTCTGACCATGTTTAAAAGGTTTAGAGTGAAATAGTTAGTCGTTCACTCTACCAATCAACAGGTTGCATGTTCCAGTATCCTCTAAAGATGTCTGACTTCCTGTTAATGACGTCACATTCCCAACCGCAATTTGTACGGTGATGAATTGAATCTTATTGCCATTAAACACACATTTCTACATTTGCTGATGAGGCTTGTGTTCTTCTCCTGTCTTCAGGGGTGGTGAGTCAGGGCTGGCAGGCCGACCCTGCTACCAGGATGGTGATGCCCAAAAAGCCCGGTAGGTGGCAGTATTGCTCTCTTCAACTGTTCACATCTGTTCTGTTGCCTAAACTGTCTTCTCTTCAGGATGAATGCCGAGCCCACCTTCTCCTGTATACAATCAGACACACTGACACTGTTGGAGCAGGGATTAAAAAACAATCAATTATATTTTATTTTCCTGGAATCTCTTGAAATATGTGATTTGCTAAATCTGTTCTTGTTTAAGATCCATATTTCCCTCATCCATTCCCTTCCTTTTATTCTACTGTGTTTCTTTCTACCACATCATCACATGTCCTCACCAGTTATTGATCGCTCTGTGTCCCAAGAGAAAACTTCAGACTTATGCTCAGTGTCCTCTAACAGAGAGGAGGAGGAGGCCTGCTGTAAGCATCCAACATATTTGCTAAAGCATCTGCTGCGCACATGTCCGACTCAACAGGCTAACCCACTCGACATTAATCCTCATGCCCCCCCCCCCCCCAAACCATCCCTCCACAGCACCAGTGGTTCTAAATAGTGTTTAGGAATTTAGGTTGTTGATCTCACACAGGAAACCATTCTGATGATTCTGATGATATGCAAAGAGTAATGATCTCCAAGCACATGTAGGTAGTGTTGTTAAACAGGTCCGGGGGGGGGCAGTGGGCAGTGGGCTCATATGTCACAGTGCGGTTAACTTAACCTGCTGAGTCAGTCTGAGTTAAAACACGTGCTGCTGAGCCAGCAACTTAAATCAGGGAGAAGAAGATCAATGGTGCTTGGCACAAAGAGAATCCCCCTCCTCTGACTCAGCCTCTCCTCCTCTCCCCACAGATCCTCCCCCCGTCTCATTGGTTCCAAATGAGCAGCAGTTGGCCAGACTCACTGACTACGTGGCTTTCCTCGAGAACTGATAACCCACCAACACCACTGCCACACTTTTTCGCTCGCCCGGTACAGAGGGGGATATATGTGTGTAAAGACTCTTCTTTCAGCGATGTACCAAAAACACACACCACCATCTCGATGCATGAGCGCTGCAAGCTCCAAAATGCCTATTTGTGTCACTCACTAGCTTCCCCTGATAACGTTACAATCTTTCAGATGTTGTATTATATTCTTCTTTCTTTGGCTCTGTGAAACTCAGCTGATGTATACATGAATATAAAAGAGAAACATGTTTGTCATCACTGTCAGTATGTGTTATTGCTAAGACAACACACAATAGAAACCGTACTGTGCAGGTGGTCTTAAAAGAATCCCCCTCACACGTGTTGCCAGGTGACAGAAGGCTCTGCAGACGCACATCAGTGTGAGGATTTCAGTCGTCAGGCCTCATATTTTGAACTTCATGTTTTGACGGGTGAATAAATATTATTTTGTTTCTATTT